AGTCATTTTGAAAAATTAGGTGACATTTTTCAAAGTATCTTTTGGACTTTTCAATAATTTTATAAAAAATTTCGTTTAAAAACTTTATTTTCTTTCTGTCTATGTCTCTTTTTTATCAATTTTGTAACTAGACACTGAAATCAAGCTTGAACGTACGCGACGGCTGTCACAGAGATCAAATGCGTCAGGATTTCCCAATTGACTACGACGACTTTTTCTTCGCTCACGTAGCCGAGGTTCCCGAGATCATTTCGCTGTACGTCAAATTGGAACGTGAAACTGACAGCAGTGATTTTGGCAATGTACTAAATGCAGATGGTCTGGCGGAAATCTACTCCTTTTGTGTGACCTTGGAATCTGTGACTGTTGAGTATGATGGAAATTTGACAACCTTTCAAGATGTGTGCGCTAAATGGGATGGTAAGTTTTTTTATTGCGGCAGAACAAACAGAGCGTACAGAACATAGTTGGCGGAAGTTTTTGTGATAAAGCCTTCATCAATTTTTTAGGCATTTTGTCTAACTAACTTAGAATTTTTGTAGTTTTCAATAGAAAAAATGACACAAGTAAAAAATCGTCAGCATATTATCTAAACCTACACCCAGTGTTTCCCTATAAACAAAAATGAGAGCGTGAAAACAGTTTAAAAAAATTTAAAGCTTACAATAAAAATCTGTAAACAGTTTTGCTTTGACATATTGCATGGCTTGCTTAGTAATCAGAGCTAAAGTGTGCAGCTAAAATGTAGTACGACAGGACTAAAAGAGTGGTTATAGGATTTTCTCTGACGTTTCTAAGCGATGGTAAACTATTTGTCAGAGCGGAAAACTTCAAAGTGTTAGAAGTCAGTAGCGGTGAACATTTAGCGGTGAAAGGTTTATTTCTTGCACCGCGCATAACTGTTCAAACCATTGAAATGCGGGGATAAACTTCGTATTCGCGTGCGTTAGAGTTTTTTCTCTTTTTGTTTTCCACACAAAATCAGGCACCACACCCGCACCGAAGTTTCATGGATAAAAAACGATTACAATGGATTTTTGTTGACTAAAATGTTGTCTATATAATCGATTATCATGGCAAATTTAGACGACGTAATGGATTTTTAATCAATTTTAATCGATTATTTTCGAAAAATAAAACTCCATTAAAATTCATTTTTATAATCCCCCCACGTCCCCCCACACGTCACCCCACACGTCACCCACACGTCAGCCACACGTCACCCCACACGTCACCCACACGTCACCCACACGTCACTCACACATCACCCACACGTCACTCACACATCACCCACATGTCCCCTCCCCCCTCATACGACCCCCCACAACACCCGCCACACCGCGTCCGCCACAACAACCACCACACCACTGCAACCCGATTTGGTTTAAGCGCGGGCTTGGCGAATAACACTCAATTAAAAAAGTTACAAAAATACAAGTCTTTTTATAATTTTTTATAAACGCGATTGAAATTAGGAAAAAGTTAATTTTCGTAAGAGAACAAAATAATTAAATTAAGTTTAAAATTATTATGAAAAAATGAAAACAGCACAACGAAAGATTTTAATAGATGAATTATTTTTTTTCTGATAAAATTTTTTGAAAATAAGTTGAAGATAATCGATTATAATTGATTATAATAGATTTTATTGGATTTTTTTGCTTAATAAATAGTATCATTATAACCCATTTTTGATCGATTATAATCGGTTATTTTAATATTTTATAGAGACTGACAATGAAAATCCAATATAATCGATTATTATCCATGAAACTTCAGTGCGGGCAAAAAACAACAACAATGTTTTTAGTGATATATCACATTAAAGCACTTTCAGCTGTGATTAAAATTACTTTGAAAGGGTCAATGGAAAACTCGGTTTGATATTTTTGTAATTTAGTCTAATTTCGAAGGAGTAAAGCGATCTAGTAACGCTCGCTATATGAAAAGTTTCGGCTGAAAAAAGTTGATTTTACTAAAATGGTAAAAAATGATTTGGTGAAATTGAAAAGCTTAAACTTATTTCAAAGGCTTCATTTAGCGCTTTTTAGGCAAACAAAATTTAAAAAAATAAATTATGCGCAAAAAAAATTTGAACAAGTTTCCGATTTTTTTGAAAAAATATAAAAAATACAACTCCAATCCATGCAGAGGATTCTTATTAGCAGGATAATGAGGAGTGTAATTTTTGTCCAACTTTCTGGTATAAATTCCCAGGAACTTTTAATGTATAGGTCAACAAAACACACATGACCGTTTTTCAACTGCCCACCTATTTTTTTTTCAATTGCATTATATGTCACAATTTTTGCGGTGGCATAAAGAGTAAGTGAAGTTCATCTGCGCTTCCAACAAAAAAAACGAATTTCAGCACATTCATTTGAAATCTTTAAACTGATCTTTCCCTAATTTTTCGATTTATTTGTTCAATCCAGCTTAAATTTTGACTGCAAACACCCAGATCTTTCACAGGGTCCTTCGTAATGGAAAAGTTCTGGTCACCCAGAGTACAAGCTGGTTCACTGTTCAGTGTATGGTTTCTGCGGGGGTATGAGATGGTTTTCGTTTTATCGTACTTTTTTTTGCGAATGACCCATGATGTAACGCATTTATGTCCGTCCCTCTGTAAAGTATGCAAGTTGTAGATTGTTAATTTTGTATCATCTGCAAACATCGATGGAAAAGAGTCGGCACAAACATTCGGTAAGTCGTTATTATAAATTAAAAATGAAAAGATCCTAAAATGAACCCCTGCGTTACCCCACTAGTAATGGGAAAAAAATCTAAAAAAAAAACATTCAAGTGAAATCTCTGTAACCTGTTGAACAAATAGAATTTTATAATTTTGAGTAAGATGCCACCCATTCCAACAGTTCGCAGTTTTTGAAGAAGTATAACCTGGTCGACTCTGTCAAGAAATCAAGATACATATTAAATACCAGCAGCACTGAAATTTCATGGACAATAATAGATTATATAGAATTTGCATTGTCAATCTCTATAAAAAAACAAAAATAATCAATTATAATCGATTCTAATGGATTACAATCCATTTATTCAAATCTTTTTGTGTGTTGTTTTCATTTTTCGTAATATTATTAATTTAATTATTTTGATCTCTCGCTAAATTTAATTTTTTCCTATTTCCAATCGCGTTTAAGAAATTTTAGAAAAAGTTAACTATAGATACCACACCACACCCTCCCCCCCCCGTGTTTACCCGTACTACAGTTACCTGGCGCGGTAGGGGTGTATAGTGGGGGTTTGGTAAACGCGTGAGGAGGGGGATGTGGGTAATGTGGGGGAAATTTGTACACATGTGGGGTGGGTATATGTGGAGGGAGGGGGGGGGGGGGTACGTGGAGGGTGCGGGGCTTAGGATGTGGGAGGGACATAGAGTGGACGTGGGTGGGGGTTTGGGACGTAGCGGGGGCTTGATGGGGGTTGTGAGTAGGGATAGGGGGAGGGGGACTGAAAATTCAAAAAAAAAATTCGAAAGCAACTCCAACAACACTAAAAAGAACGTATTTCGAACGTTTTTGGGCATTTATTGAAAAATTACTAGATATTCGCCTCATCAAAATTTCTATATATTGGCCGGCCCTGGATGAACGTGTTTGTTCGAGTTTTGCAAGAAACTGCAAAAAGTACAGTAATTAGTTACAAAATTTAATCCATTTTCATGGATTTTACGTACAAAAAATAATCCATTTTATTGAAAACAAAAATGGATTATAATCAATTTTAATGGTTTGTAATGGATTTTTTTTTCAATAATAATCAATTAAAATGGATTAAAAATCTATTATATTGTCTAAATTTGCCACTATAATTGATTATACAGACAAAATTTTTTGTCGACAAATATTCATAATAATCGATTTTTATCCATGAAACTTCTTAGCGGATACGTCTTCATTTTTATCAAAGGCTTCTTTTATAAAGTTTTGATGAAGAAGTAATTTGGTGGTGGTAGATTTCTTGGGTAAAAAACTATGCTGCGAGCTATTTATGGCATGAGTAACCTCATTTTAGACTTTTTAAAAAGTAAACACTCGAAACAAAGAGAAAGCTGACAGAGACTAGCAATGGGTCGATAATTCGATACATCAGTCTTATCACCATTTTTGAACAATGATTTTATGTTAATTTTTTTCCATTGATCTGGAAAGCTTTCGTTTGCCATGATATATTTAACTAATTGTAGAGAAGGAACACTCAATGAGTTTGCGGTAGATTTTATAATTTGACCAGGGATTCTATTTGATCCAGTACATGGTTACACTATCGGCGGCATCAGAGAGAGTGAACATAAAATGTTAGTAGATGTTGGGCGATAAATCAGAAAACACAGACTCAGCTGGCTCAAAAGCAGTGCAGATGAAAATATTAAAAACTTAAAAACTTCGGCTTTAGTTCCATTTGTTGTAACATGGCCTATAATGCATGCGATGAGAATATGGATTTTCTGTTTTAAATGCATTAATGAGTTCTAATGCATTAATAAGTTAAATGCATAGATAGGTAACGAAAAGTTCTGAAATATTGTTGCACTTTTTGATGAAACCTCAGGGGTCTTCATAATCTTGGCAAAATTTCTAATAAGACTGGAGCATGGTCATATTTAAAAGCCTCTGTTTTGTCCTTCTTCGTTGCCTTTTTCTTTAGGTGAATGTGATATTCCTAGCAGCTGCTCCATGATGCAAGAGTCAATTCGTAACAATTTTACTCTTCCCTTCGTCACTCCAACGACAGAAGTTCTCATCATGACCCACAACGCCATCGTACAAAACATCTCCGTTCTCAAAGCCGACGGATCAACCAGTCGAATAAAAGTTATTACAAATGCGACACACATATTTTTGAACTGGTTTCTAAAAGTTTCAGACCGTTCGGAAAAATGGAATTTACGTGCCTTCAAAGAGTTGGACAAGTTGAGGAAAACGTTCAAAAATGCCAATTACTATTTTTTCAGCTATGCACAAAGTCGAAAAGAAGATATGGATCCAATAAAAGATGACATGCAATTATTAGCAATCGGAGGAGTGTTGCTTCTTTTTTACTGCTCTCTCGTGACTTTCAATTTGTCTTGGAAAGCAAACAGGATTTTCCTCACTTTGTCGGGACTGTTTTCGACTTTGCTGACAGTTTCGGCAGCCTTCGGCGTCATGATTGCGGCTAATATTCCCCTGGTCTCAATCTCATTGGCCATTCCATTTGTGGTCATTGGTTAGTTGCTTCGTCCTCGTAACTTATAGGCCATTTATCGGAATTATCGGCCATTTTTTAATAGTTTTTTACCTATCTTTAGAGAAAAACTGAAAGTTTCGGAAAATTTTTAATTGTCTCAAAAAGCATTCCTTAAGGCTTCAATCCAGCGCGCTTTTAGGTGAAAGGCGGGGGACTTTAATCCCCTAGCTTTCAAAATTTTCCCCCTTTGGTACTATTTTATGACAACCATTCTTGGCGGAGCAAAGAAGAACTTATTTTCAGAGGGGGCTCGTACTAAAAAAAAACATTTTTTAGGCGAAACTTTTATATACCCGGAAAGTTATCCTTGAGATGAGCAGAGACACCATAAAACTTGGATGTTTCAACGATTCCATGGCATTTCTCGCGTAACTTTATTATAGTCATTTTAATGGGTTGTTGTCCGCTGATTTGCAAAATGAAATAAATTGAATTTACGAATTCTCCCAAACACGATAAAGACTAAAAATATATTTATCGCATTTCGGAGAGCTCGTAAAATCTATCTGTCCGACCTAAGAAAAGGACAAAAAAATAAGCACATTTTTTTCGTTTTCCCAAAAAACCCAAGATATTGCCCTATTTTAGAAAGCTCAAGTTTTGTAATTATTCTCATATCAATATGACTTCATTTACCGTTTTTCAGGAATTGGGATTGATGCCAACTTGGTGATGAGCACTGAATGGGCCAACTGGTCTCCTCGGTCTAATACCCCTTCGCCCTCCGATTTCATTTGCTCTTCCTCCGAAGAAAGGATTGGGAGGACGATGGAGCGGGCCTTCATGGGGGTATCTCTCTCCCATCTCACTTCTCTCCTCGCTTTCATAGTGGGCGGATTTGTGTCCCCCTTCCCAGCTGTGAACTACCTCTGCGGATATATGAGTATGGGCTGAACTCAACTGGTTCTTCTTGTTTGTTTGAATTTCTAAACAGTCAGTGCTCCGTCGGTCAACTTGATAAAAACACAATCTCGCAAGAATCTTTAAAAGATTACTTATAACTTCAAATCGTTTTACAGGAATTTTGCAAGATCTTGTCAGATAACCATAATTTTTCAAGAATCTTTAAAAGATCAGTTATACCTTTAAAACATTAGAAGAATTTAACAAAGCATAGAAAAAGAATTTAATTTAGAGTACGATAAACTGTTTTTCTCATTAAATCCTTCTAAAAAATCGAACCCTAACATAAAAAATACTTTTTATCATTCAATATATACACCCTGAAAAACCCGAAATCAACCAATGACCCACATTATCCACGGGTCCTCGTTGCTGTAAAGCATCATGTGTGTTCTTTTTTGTTTCAGCTGTGAACATTTTGTTTGCGTGGGTGGGAGAGGGAACCTTCTTTCTATCCTGTCTCTGTCTATACGGCCGATGGGTCGATAAAGAAAGAACGTCCACTGCATCTGTGTCCGACCACAAACATCCTACATCTTCTTCTTCTTCTACTACTACTCATATCGGCGTCATGAAGAGTCGGAATACTGAGCTCGGAGGAGATAGACAAATAACCTCTCCTGGTAAGTTGTGAAAACACCATTGTTTAAAAACTATATTCGTTATCTTCTTCAAGCATTGTATGGACGGGTTACAGTGTAAGCATCCGATATGACAAACATCCCAGGCTGAGGTGTCCGACACATGATTTAATCGACACTGTCGAAAGAGGTCCAATTTTATTGAACTGGGTCGAATCATGAGTCGAACAGGGTCGAATTATGAGTCGAACAGGGTCGAATTATGAGTCGAACTGGGTCGAATCATGGTCGAACAGCATTGAATCAATGGTGGAACAAGGTCGAATCATGGGTCGTATAGGGTCGAAACATACCAGTTTTTGGTCGACAAAGTTGAATATAAATCGAGCACCTGCTGCCGCCCAGGTCAAATTGCTTTGATTCCCGGTAAATTGATTCCCGGTAAATTGATTCCCGGTAAAGTCGAACAAGGGGGTATTCTCATGGGCCAAGGACCGAAAGGGCGAAAAAGTTATGGGAGAAGGACAGAAAACAAAAGCAATCGAAAGTCACTAATTGAGATGAATCAATTGCCGATTAAAATAAAAGCAGAAACTATTTTGCTTTTTTTATAACGAAACCTTTGAAATATAAATTTTGTTCCAATTCGCAACAAATCAGTGACAATTTGAATTTTTTAAAGTTTTGCATTTTTATCACTGACGATTCAATTGAAAGCAGAAAATGTTTCCCTTTTTGTTCCCACTTTCGAAGAAAACGGAATATTTATGCTCTGTGTGGTTTTTTATTTAGTCAATTTTCGCCGATTGAAATAACAGTTTTCGACATTTTTTTAAATTTCTTTTTGAAGATATCGACTTCTTGAGCTCAAATGTAAAAATATTTTACCTCCGTTTATTTTTTGTTAATTCTGGAGGTTTGAAAATGAACAAATTGGCCATGTTCTGGACTAAATTATGCGCTCTTTGAGAAAATTATTCATATTGCTGAGAGCGTAACACGAATTATTTATGCGTGGCGAATTATCCCGCACAACAAAATCGTTTCAAATTGAATTGAGGCTAGCTAATTGGTCGTACTAATTTTGTACAACTCGAAATTTTACACTTTGATTTTGTCCATTTTGACTCACAGATTTTCGAAATTTTTTTTCCTAAGAACTATTCGATATGAATTAGGGGACAGTCGGAACATTCAGGGCTTTGTCTTGACATACGAGCAGTCTTGTTTTTATAACAAAACCTTTGAAATATAATTTTTGTTCCAATTCGCAGCAGATCAGTGACAGTTTGAAAAATTTAAAGTTTTGCATTTTTATCCTTGCCGATTCAATTGAAAGCAGAAAGTATTTAGCTTTTTGTTCCCACTTCTGAAGAAAACGGTATGCATATGCTCGGTGTGGTTTTTTTATTCAGTCAATTTTCGCCGATCGAAATCATAGTTTTCGACAATTGTTTTAAACCCTATTGAAGATATTGACTTTCTAAGTTCAAGTGTAAAAAGATACTTCAACTCCGATAGTTTTTTGTAATGTTCGGGTGGTTAGAAAATTACCAAATTGGCCATGTTCTGGACTAAATTATGCGCGCTTTAAAAAATAATTCATATTGCTGAGAGCGTAACACGAATTATTTATGCGTGGCAAATTTTCCCGCACAACAAAATTGTTCCAAATTGAATTGAGGCTAGCTAATTGGTCGTATTAATTTCGAACAACTCAAAATTTTACACTTTGATTTTGTCGATAACTTACAGATTTTCAATTTTTTCTTTTCCTTAAAAATATTCGATATGAATTAGGGGACAGTCGGAACATTCAGTGCTTTGCCCTGACATGCAAGCAGTCTTGTTTTTATAACGAAACCTTTGAGATCTAATTTTTGTTCCAATTCGCAGCCGATCAGTGACAATTTGAAAAATTTTAAAGTTTTGATTTTTTATCCTTGCCGATTCAATTAAAAGCAGAAAGTATTTAGCTTTTTGTTACCACTTTCGAAGAAAACCGTATACATATGCTCGGTGTGGTTTTTTTATTCAGTCTTCAAATTTTCGCCGATCGAAATAATAGTTTTCAACAATTATTTTAAACCCTATTGAAGATATTGACTTTCTAAGTTCAAGTGTAAAAAGATACTTCACCTCCGATAGTTTTTTGTAATGTTCGGGTGGTTAAAAAATTACCAAATTGGCCATGTTCTGGACTAACTTATGTGCGCTTCAAAAAAATTATTCATATTTCTGAGAGCGTAACACGAATCATTTATAAGTGGAGAATTTTCCCCGCATAACAAAATCGTTCCAAATTGAATTGAGGCTGGCTAATTGGTCGTATTAATTTCGTAAAACTCAAAATTTTACACTTTGATTCTGTCGAAAACTTTCAGATTTTCAATGTTTTTTTTCCTAAAAACTACTCGATATGAATTAGGGAACAGTCGGCACTTTCAGGGCTTTGCCCTGACATACGAGCTGTCTTGTTTTTATAACGAAACCTTTGAAATCTAAATTTTGTTCCAATTTGCAGCAGATCAGTGAAAATTTGAAATTTTTTTTTTTTGCATTTTGATCATTGCCGATTCAATTGAAAGCAAAAATTATTTAGCTTTTTTCATAACGAAACCTTCGAAATACAAATTTTGTTCGATATCGCCGCAAATCAGTGACAATTTGAAAGTTTCAAAGTTGTGCAATTTTCTGCCGTCTTTTTTCGGCCATTATTAACTTTAGGTCTCAGGAAATGTTTACTTTCTTCGCGATTTTCACGCTTTCTTTTCAAATTTTGGAATAAGGAATTCTGATTGGTTCGAACAAAGTCGAGCAAGGTCCGGAAAAGTCAAGCCAAGTAGAAAATGGACATCGTTCGATTTCAAAAGTCAAAAACGGACATCGTTCGACTGTTTGGGTTGAATCATGAATCGAGCGCCTCAGCCCGTGATCCGAAAAACTAAAAGTGTTGCCAGTATCCGAAAAACAGTTTTACTAAGGGCAAACATCCAAAATCTTGAAGAAAATAGGGCAAACATCCGATTTCGACCGTTCACTTTTAAGATGCTGTAGTGGTAGAAGGAAGGCGGATCGTTGGGGTCACCTTAACGTGTTACGAGCTTGCCAACAGAAGGTAGGACTCTATATGAAGATTAGAGTCGTTTATCGCCGCGGCGAACTTAAACCGAGAGTCGGCTCAGTTGGAATCGGATAATTGAACGATGTCCTGCTTTTGAAGTTCCAACGTCAGATTTTTACATTATTAATATATAAGTTTGGATGTTTGATGTATCAGATGTTTGTTCTAGACCCGTATGGATGAAGAAAGACAATGAAGGGATTCTGTTTGTCATGAAAAAATAATCCTGCCCCTTTCCTCGGCCTCAAATCCTCCCCATGGCTTCTTGGAACTTGGAAACCAACATTTTGTCAATATTTGAAGTGTTGCGTCTTGCGTCTCTTACAGTTTTCTGAACATATTTTGGAGGTGGTCTGAGAATGTTTGGCAACTGAAAATGTCAATTTCCTTCAAGTAATATTGACAAAAAAGCTCAGAAGTCAGGATTTTTTTAAATTGTTTATTGTTTCATCTTTTTAGATCTTTCCATTCAAACCCAGGAAAACGATCAGACTAACTCTGAATCAATCGCTGTCACAAATCACGACTTGAGCGTTGTAGAGTCGTACCTAATGCGAGTTCTACCGAAAATTGTCCTGAACAAATATGTCACGTGTTTTCTTTTGTTCGGCCTTGGAGCCGGGCTAGGGCTTGCAACTGTGTCGGTTTATAACATCCCGAGAGAAGAGTTGTATTCGATCTATTACAAGGACGGCTCGGCAATCGGAGAGTTCTATGATGCCAGACGACACGACTTCCCGTTTCCTGTGATCTTGCAAATTGTGTTTGACAAACAGATTGACTACTCGGATATCGAAACGCGCCATATTTTGCAAGATTTCTTCCGAGACATCAACGAGACACTTCTTTTCGAAGAGAACTCGGTATGAGATCAAAATTGAAGAAAATAGACGCGGATTCGAATTTCTAATCGATACAAGTCATTAATGTACTTCGTTAGCTGTTTGATGGACGCAAGAAATTACATTTTGTTGTTCAAAATTTTGCAGGGGCGCTAATTTTACTTGGACAAAATGGCACAATTTGTGTTCACTTGGTAGAAGTTTTTGTTTATTTGAGTGATTAGCGCAATATTTTGAATAGATTTCCTAAAATTTTGTAGCTTCATTAGGCTCAACCAATTCATAAGTCTTAACCAATAAGTAAACCAATACCCGAGCTCGAAGTTTATTCTCATTCACATCTCCCCCCTTCCCACTCCACAAGGACAAAAAATGATATTTTTCTCTTTTTTAAACAGCACTTAATTATCTGTGGTACAAACATCGGCTTTGTCGTTTTCTAAACGCGGTTAGAATTTTGAACTTCATAACCGGCCAAACAATTCAATCGTCAATCATTAAGTCTACCATTGATTAAAATATCGTATCTGATTTCTTGTATTTTTTTTTATTATAAGAACTTAAAACTGTTAGCTTTATTATAAGGCTACCAGATAAAAAGCATTGAAGCACAACCTCACGCAAAAACAAGGGACCAGTGAAAAATTCAAACCACATTAACCACTTTTTCTTGTTGGTGTTTCAATTTTGACGTTTCAGATGAACTGGTTGACTCTGTTGCTGCAGTACCTGGAGATGACTGGACAGTCTCTGCCACAGAACGACGAGGAGAGCTTCAACTCCCACGTGGACACTCTGCTTAATACTCTGCTTCCTAATGTTGAAGAATTCAAGCCAGTCAAATGGCTCAAGAATGACGTCATTTTCAATGAACACAAACAGGTAGTTGCAACAAAAAATCAACACGATGTTTTAAAAAACTAGGCTTAAATTTGCACCTGGAATTACCTTAGTTTTTCATATTTTACGGAATACTTTTTCACTATCGTGGCTACAACTGCAAATAATGATTGATTTTAATAGGTCAAAGCAGGTTCCATCAATGCAATTTTTCGAAAAAATGTTATGTTAAAAATTCTTATATATTCAATATATGTTATTATATGAATTTAATATAAAATTTTATTTGCTCTGTGATTGCGCGGATATATATATATATATATATATATATGTCAGAGAAAGTAACATCATACTTTCGAGTGCTAACATATCCAAGCAGTTAACTCACTAATGTTAGACAAGCTTCAGAAAAATAAGTGTTAGTCTTTCGATTAATCTCCGGTCAAAACAAAGATTGTAGTAAATTCAAAATTATTACATGGAAAGAAAACAAGAAATGAAACTTGTATGCTTAACCAATAGTTTTACATCAAAATTTGCAAAAAAATGACCGGCGACGAGAAAAAAAATAAAAACAAATTATGTATCAATCCCTTCGTCTATAGTTAAACAAGTCATCATTTTCCTCAAATTGACTGTAAGAAAAGTTTTCTGAGAGTGTTCGAGCTATTAATTCTAAAACTTATTGTGATTTTTGGCACAAAAATTGTTTCCAAAAAATTTGAAAATTTGTAGACGGGTAAGACGTAAAATTTGTAAAACGGGTAAGACGTAAATATATTACAAAAGTAGATGGTTGCTGTGCGAGTAGCACAAATTGTTTCGACCATTTTCATGATTTTCTTTTCAATTTAACACTGTAGTTTGTACGCGGTGTCACAAGGAATTTTTACAAAAGTGTAGAAAGTAACTGAGATGGGCAAAATCGACGCTATTTGAAAGAAGGTTTTTTGAAAATTTTCACAACAATTTTTTCAAAATTTTTTTTTCTCATAATATTGTTTAAGTAATTTTTGAAATTTTTTTGCTTAAATAGCTTAAGAAAAGTTTTCTGAATTGACTGTATAGATTTAGAAATTGTATGAAAATTGTATGACAAGCATTTTCCCACACACTTGATGTATGGAATTGTATGATAAGCATTTTCGGTGTATGGAGGTCAGCCCGGGTATATATATTTACCCTCATAGTTTCGTAATTTTAAATGATCAGACAACAAACGTTACTCTACCACTTTACTTGTTCGAACTTTGACTAAGACTTGAAGCTTTCGAAAACGTTTAAGAATCAATTAAATAACGTCAAAAAATTCAGTAAGCTATATAACTCAACCCAATCCGAATATTATTTGCGGTACCTGTTTTTGCATTGATTAAAAAAAACTAAAACACCCGCAAACCTAATTTTCCGTTCCTTTTTAAAGGGTCGGAACAAAAACGCCGCATCAAAAAAAGGGTTTGTTAAGCTTGATCGATTTGATTGCAATATCTGAATTGCGCAAAAATATTAAAAAATAACTTTATCTTATAATAACCTTAATAATCTTATCAAAAATTAATAGCTAAGAAAAAAAACAATTTTCAAGAAAATTTAACCGTTTAATTAAGTAATCATTATGAAAAAAATCTTCTGTAAAAACAAAAACTGTTAGACTCCGAGAGAAAATACTTTATACTAAGACGTTTTAAAACAAAATCAAGAAAATTTTTTTTCTTATATTGTCAAAATTTTGCTGCAAAGAATTTCCGGAAATCGGAAATCTTTCAAAAAAAGTCGATATTCTGAATGATTGCGAGTGTAATTAAGACTAAGAGAACAAAAGTTTGATTCGCTAGCTTGAAACCAAAAGACAATCCAGACTCGTACAACACTGAAAAAAACCATAGAAGAAAATCCAGAAACTTGCAAAAGTAATGACACAACACAAATTCAGTGACAAGAAAGATCCCTTCGAAATTAGACCAATTTTCTAGTTACCATCTTTCGTCAAACTTTTTGAGAAGCTCATATTCAATAAATCGAACATCCTTTTTGACAAAAAAAAGTGTTTCGTCAAAATCGGTTTGGACTTTTTTGACTTAGATCAAAATGTAGAATTATAGAATAAAGAATTTAGGTTTCACAGGAATGATCAAAACTTTTCAACCCAGTGCTCATTCTTAGATATGTGTAGAACGTTTTGATTCGTCCACTACGGTATTTGGCTTGATAAATCCGAGTTGCAGTTTCAACCAGAACGGAAAGAAGTATGTATACAACTCCAGAAAGAAATCAATACTTGGAGCAAAGTGTTTTCGCGTCCCACAGAGATAACCATCAAGATCCACTTTTGTTAATCTTAATAATGATTAAATCGGAAAAATGCAATAGTCCTCAAAAAAAATGACATGTGTCTCTATTTGGATGATACCACTATGAAAACAACTTTTTCTTCATAAGTTTATTTTTAAAACATCATGTCTTAGACAAACTTAGTTTTTGGTTAAGAAGCAATAAACTTAAACTGAACAAAAAAAACTTAACTTGCTTTTCTTATCAAATCAGTAGTTTATTCTTCTACAGATACATAAATCCAAGGCGAATAAATTGAGAAACAAAAATAATCAACCATTTCTGGATAATTATAGGTAAAATATTTGTGTTTGAAAATCACATAACATGTTATGAAACATCAATTTGCCAATATTGTGGGAATTTTGAAACTTGACCAAAAAGCATCTTTTGGCTTAAAACCACTGTTAACCTATTTTTGCAATATTCAATCCTCGTTCATGTATCAGTTGATAAAACAAAAGTGAGTTTTTTTGAAATGCTGTGAAAACTACTTATAAACACAGTTTTTTACGCAAAAGAGAAGAGAGTGAAAGTCACATTGAGTTTACAAGAAGTAATTATTTTAAAAAGTATTGGAAAGACTCAATTAAAAACACAGAGCAAGCATAAGTTGCATCAAAAGACTAGATTGCTGCAAGAAATCGTATTCATCTAAGTAGTTTGAATTTTTTGCTCGCTCATTTTAAGAGACGATAACAAGTTTTAATAACAAGGAAGGGAATTAGTACATGTCTCATTTCTTTGATAACTTTATTTAATATAATTGTGAATTCATACGAAAAGTGTTTAATTGTTAAAATATTAAAAGTCTGAAAATGCCTCCTGCAAACATTTTTCTGTAAAATTTTTTTTTCAAACTTTTTTCTGGTGAACAATCCAACTCCTCCAAATGGTATGATTTTTTTCTCTTTTTTATCGTTTTTCAGCAAGTTGAGCACTTCTTCCAAGTTTTTCCAAGGTTTCAATCTCATTAGTTGATTATAAAAAATTCAGACTGATAATGAGTTAATAATTTTTTTTAAAGAGCAACTTATGTTTCTAGATAATCAAAGCGCGTTTCTACATCACATTGACATCCTCCACCTCCGGAGCAGCGGAAGAGAGCGAGAGGATCTTGACTGCCCTCCGAGGTGTCCTGGACAGATACAGACAGTCTCTCAACCCCTACGTGTTCAATTACATTCTGACCGAGTTCGAGAGAAATGTACTCATGTTGGGAGAAGTCTGGAGCTCAATCGCCATTGTCGCAGGTTGGTTGGCCAGCAGTTTAGGAAGAGTCCGACCTGTATTTGAATGACTCAACCAGAGTCATCATTATCATTTAACTTGCAATTAGCTTAATATTTATGTTATTCGTCTGGCCAGCATTAGCTGTCATAAAAAAAAGTCGCAAAATGGGTCACTTTGGATAAGTTTGGTGTAAAAATTGGGGGGAGAGGGATGTGCCCCCCTCTCTTGGCACGCTACTGGCATCATGCTTGGGAACAGTTCAAAAACCGATTGATGATTACAAATATTAAAAACGTTTCAGGGGTCATTACGCACCAAATGGCTGCCCCAATCATGATTAATAATTGTAAAATATCTTGATTCGCCCCGATTCAAATCAAATTTTTTGTCAGTTCTTTGCAACATTCTCTGTATAACATCGATTGCAATATTTTTCTTGTGAGTACCGGCGGGTGTGCCATAGTGTTTTTTGCGTGTGATGTAGTGATGGCGATGCTGGTCTCTCTCATCTTCATCCCCTCCCTGCCCATCTACCTCCTCGTCATTTCCCTCTTCTTCTCTGCAATGCTCACTGCCATGGGCCTGATGGGACTGTGGGGACTCACTTACGCACTCTCCACATACGTGCAAATCATGCTCGGATTCGGTTAGCAGCTTCAGTCCATTTTGGATATTGATCAAAGTCCTCTAGTATTCATAATTCTTATTGACACAACAACTAATATTGCGGTAGCTGTACTCAAATTTTGAACCTATTGAGCCACATCAGAATAAGTAATTTTGACTTTTCTCCAACAGTCCATCAAACTTTTGAAATCCAAATGCTGTCGTCATTTGAAATCCAAAGAAAAATCAAAAAGTCAATAAATTTAATGCGCAAGGAATGTTCGACACCATTTTAAAATAAAATTTTTCGCCATTAAATTTTGTTCTAGGTCTGTGCATCGACTACATGGCACATATGGCACGTGGCTACATGGTGGCTGAAGGCTCAAACCCCCTCGAAAAAGTGAGACACACCCTTTCAACTGTCGGAGTCGCAATGTCGAATGCAGTCGTCACTTCAATCCTCGGAGTCGCAATGCTCAGTGCAGCGGGAAGCTTCGCCAACCGATCTTTCTTCAAGAGCATGTTTGTAATTTTCGTGAGCAGTTACATATTCGGAGTGTGGTTGTTTCCCGCTATTCTTTCGCTCATTGCGCCGATGCTCAATCGGCCGAAATCTCCTCTGGGCGAAAGAACAGCGATGACGCCTGATAGAAGTAATGTAATTCAACATTTGACAGCTGAGACGTCGGCGTGTACTACATCTGTGGCAACACCTGACATAGAAGTTCCGCCAGTACCCGAAACAAGATGATGAAAATTTCCAAACTATTAATAATTTAATATATCAAATCTTTTTGAGTAAAAATGCAATGTATGAGGACCCTAGATATGTGTCGTTAAAAATTTTGGAGCAATGATTTTTTGATGCGTACGGTTGAATTTAAGTCTCTCAGATTGTGAAGCATTTTGACAAAATACAGTGCCAATAGTGTGGTTTTTTCACGCGACTCTTTCGCTCACTGTGCCCATGCTTTCTCGATCGAAACCTTTACAAAGTAAAAAAAAAACTAAAAGGCTATTTGGAAAAAAATATCAGCCAACAAGTGATGCTGAGACCTTGGCGTGTAAAAAAGCTGTGGCAGCAACAGATACAAAATTTCAGTCTAAACCCAAAAAGATGATGAAAGTTTGTGAAATGATGATTTTCACTTCATTTGAACTGTTCAGTATTACTTCTTGTTGAAATTAAACAACATGGAGGCTTCACCCGATGAGCTGAATACAATACATATTGAAGCCCTTAAAATGATAATAACTTGCAAAACGTTTGGTTACTTTGCCTCTAAATGTTCGCGCTGAATCTTCGCCTCAACTCATATTTATTGGATTTTGGCAATTCTATATTCAAAAAGATTTTCAACGCTCCAATCTCCAGCTTCAAAATAACCGATGTTACGTTTAAATTTACTTTAGCTTTCAGTGAAGAGTTTTTTAATTGCGGCATCTAAGAAATTTAGGGCATTCATAGCTTGAAGCTCAACTATTTGATCTGGTCATTGTTTCATTCATTTTTCAGTTCTGATCTATTTTGCCTCCAGGATAATTTATCGCTGCCTAGATAGCCTTGAACACCCGTATTCAAGTCACTTTTATATCGAACTAGCAGAGAAAAAAAGAGCTTGCTTTTTCTCAATTTCTTATGCTATTTATTCGCAATTTTAAAATAAACTTCTTCTTGATCCAATATAAAAAACTCCCTACTTTTGATACTAAGACATAATTTAGTTTTTGGTTTTAACGTGTCAAATAGAATTTCTAATATCATTTTGTCAATTAATACTTGATATTTGATCAATTCCCACTCATTACGAAGCCAAACTGTGCATTTTGTGAATTTTAGGCGAATTCTGCAACAAGGACGCTCCCTTTGTTGTTTTTTTTGTTCCAACTTTCGAAGAAAATGAAATATTTATGCTCGATGTGGTTTTTTTTTATTCAGTCAATTTTCATTGAAATAATAATTTTTAACAAAAATTTTTTATACCCCATAGAAGATATCGACTTCTTAAGTTCAAGTGTAAAAAGATACTTCACTTCCGATAATTTATTATAAAATTCTGGGTGTTTGAAAACTGCCAAATTTGCCATGTTCAGGACTAAAGTTTTTTCATAATGCTGAGATCGTAACGCGAATTATTTATGCGTGGCGAATTATACCGCACAACAAAATCGTTCCAAATTAAATTGAGGCTAGCTAATTGGTCGTATTAATTTTACACATGGATATTGTCCAAAATGTATAGGTTTTCAATATTTTCTTTTCCCAAAAACTATTCGATATAAATTTTGGGACAGCCGGAACATTCAGGGCTTTGCCGTGATATACGAGCAGCCTTGTTTTTTCTTTCATTTCCTTTGATCGTTCTGACAAATTTTTAACATGCTTAAGGCTTGTCTCTGGAATCCAAGAACATACCGACACAAAATTGTGCACCTATCCAGTGCACAGTCTGGCCTCGTAATGTTTCACATTTTTTAGAGTATTTTTTTGGTTTATTAGACCAATTATGAAATGATCATTTTTATTTAAAAAAGATGAAAAAAGCCGGGTCATAATGATTCCCTGTTAGTGAAAAATTACTGCTTAAATGAAAGCTTTAATTGCAGTATTTTAGATAGTTTTAGTAACGTTCTTTTAAAAAGGTTTTATTTTCTAGTAGAAATTTTTTTTGTCAATTTGGGATGCGCGAGTTTATAGAACCAAATTATAAAGAAAAATCAGACACATCTTTTAACTGTCGTAGTGTCGTCGTAATTTCAACCCTCGGATCCGGAATGACAAGTGCGGAAGAAAAATTTGTGAACCAAGTTTTCTTCAAGTGCAGGATTGTCAATTTTGTTAGCAGTTACAATTGTGATGATCAATGCTCTAACAACCTAAACCTTCTCAGTGCGACAGAAAAACAGTATAAGTTCTATCCTCACCCAAAACGAGATGATGACAGTATCCGAATTGTTAAAGTTTAAGTATATCGTTTTTCAAAATTAGAATGTACTTATAGCATGCTGGCAAGATAGAGTGCCAACCAGGGGCGGATTTAGTGGAAGGGCGGACCCCCCCCCCCCCACTCAGAGAATCGATTCCCTGCCGACCCAAAGGGTCCCCTCTTTAGTTGTTTTTAAGATGTCCATTTTTAACCGACTGACCTCAATATTTTTCTAATGTCGCCTTTGGCCCCAATACATTCTAATTTTGAGCGGGAGCGCGCCCCAAAAAAAATGCAATTTATTTGTCAAAACTTTCCAAAAAGAGCCAAAAACAGCTTTTTGACCTGTTTTTTTAAATTTGCCTGCGGCGCAGAAAATTTGCCCAAAAAAGGGCCTTTTTTGTGCTTTTGGAGAGCTCGGAAAATCAATTTGGTTGACCAAAATTAAAGTGTCAAAACTTTCGTACATTTTTTGAAAATCCGCCCCCCCCCCTCCTTCGAGAAAATCCTAGATCCGCACCTGGTCCCAACAGAAAAAAAAATGTTTTTTTTTGGGCCAAGTATTTTAGTTTTAATGTGGCATAAATCATTATTAAGTTAATTTTAGGAAAATTTATGGAAAACATTACGGGTTATTGATGCTGAAATATTTGATATGGTCCTGGTTTCATTATTTCCTCAATTTTGATCTTAATGACCTTATCGATTGTTCAAAATTTAATTTATGGATTGAACATCCGTATTCAAAACAAAGCTATCTTAAATCAGCAGATTAAGAAAAAAAACGTTTTGCTTTCAAGTTTTTTGCCTTCTTTTTGTCTATTTTCAAACAAATCTCTGTCAATTAAACTGGAAAGACCAAATAACTAACAAATAAATAAAAAAAGATATATGTTTTTTTAGTATAAACTTGTCAATGATTGAGTGATACTTGAGCAATTTATTTTTGAATTTTGCAAATAGTTCTTTTTTGGTTTAATAACTGATTGATCAGGCTTTTTAGAATGATTCTATGTGAGTGATGTAAGACAAGACTTTCAAGTTGAGGTTCAAAGCTATCATCGTTTTCAGTGTTTTAGAAAATTTCAGTAACGCTAATTTGTAAGTGACGTTAAGTGAAAGTGAAAAAACATTTAGTTTGAGAGGCATGTGTTCAATTATAAACATCTTATAGAGATGCACCGCTAAACAATTTCTGCTTTTAGCTTTTGCTATAAACTGCAATTAATGAAAAGTTGTAAAAGGTATACTTGTACTGCACATAATGAATAGTTGTCTCTATACAAATGGTCAGTCTTTTTGGCTCAGCCAACAAGCGCTTCCGAGTTAATTCAATGGGTACCGCGAAACTCGCAACAAAAGGCAACTAGCAAAAGCTAAGGAAAGCATTAACTAGCAAAAATTGAAATTTGAAATATAATTGAAGAATTTCGGTTTAAGGTCACCGGTGAGCGTTCGCTGCTGGCAAGGTCGCCGGTTGGGACCGTGTGTTGGCAAGCTCGTCGGTGAGACTGCGGCAGCGAGTATTTTGCGAGTTTTAATGGGAGTTGTTCTTTGTTGCGAGTTGTCAAATTACGAATTTATTGAAACTTGACTCTACGCGCCGCTCAACACGCATTATGTAGGTTCCTTAGAGCTGTACCATTTTGGGTAAAATCCAGTTGTACATCGATTCGATAGAAAAACTCTCCTTCGTTCAAGTAACTGTATTAATTACTCTGCAATTAAAACTTCTTGGTTAATCAATTGATGCTTGATACCTCTCTATAGTTTTCAAACTGATAATTCGACAAGACTGCTCGAATCAGATGTGATTTTGTGTTCACTTTGAAACAAAAAGTTTCCAAATTGAAATCTTGAGTTAGAGGGAAAAACATCCAGCAACTTTCCAAACAAATTATTTAAGCTAATCAGTGAACAGCAATAAGAAAATTCCTTTTTGCGCTGATTTAGTAGTATAGCAGGAGAACAGTTAGTTTTTTTGTTGAGTTTTTGAAGCCGCTCAAATTTGGCGCAAAGACAATTCAGCCAAAGATAATTCAGCCGATTTAAGAGACAGACAATTCAGCCAAAAACAACTCAGACAATTCAGCCAAAGAAAAAACGGGCAATTTATATTAAAGAGACCAGATAAAAGAAAAAGTTAAAACTTATTTAATTTGATTAGAGTCAGATGGCTTTCAACACTTTAACAAAGAAATGTGAAACATCAAATAACAAATTTCAAGGATCAAAACAAACTTGCTATGCATAAATTTGAAGGAGCAAAGTCTTGAATACTTCTGTATATGGTCCCGATTGTAGTTTTTTTGCGTTTTGAACGAGTTTCTCGTCGGCGATTGAATACTTGGGCTTCGGTTTTCTGATAATATCACCTGACATCAGTCTCTCAACATTAATTTCGGCATTTTGTTGCTCATATTTGAAACATGTGATCAGCTTGGGGAGGGATGGGTACTTTGCGACACGGATTTATTGAAGCTGCCATTCCATGCCTCCAATGCATTGTACGTACGAGGTTCTCCGCGGGGCACCCAATTACAAGCGTTCCAATCGGCAATGTCAAATTTTGATTTGACGCGTCTATTCCCTCGGCAGGCACCAATATAAGTGTCTTCAAAATAGTCCGATAGACTCTGAAACTTTTCTGAGTGATCCTCTTTTCGGAGCGCCTCAAAAGCAAAAATGACGTCGTCAACGGGAACGAATGCCAAGCAAATCATTTTTTTGACCTTTAGTCGAAACTCATCATCGTCCATGTACTTGCGTGTAAATCCAATTTTTTGTACATTGCGCCATACTGCCTGATCCATGTATCAGGCTGCATTTTTTTATGGCATTGCGAACAGCGGCTTCAAAACCAATGACTACTTTTTCCCCAATTGCTCTAAGCAGCCAAAAAAATTTTCATATGCGTCTTGTTAGGCAGCAGAGCATACACCAAGGGTACAACTGCGGTTTCGATCAGACCATGAATAGTATAAATGGGTAAAGACATCTGGTGCCACTGAAACCGTTCAATGAGACACTTCTGACTGAGAAAGCAGATCGAACGCAGGTAATCTTGCAAATACTAAAATTCGACTGTCCAACTTATCAGAATCAAAATATTGGAATGTATCACTGCTGTGTGTAAGTTTGAGAGGTTCCGGAATTTCGTCGACGCTTTCAAGATTTTTCGGTTTTGGGATGGTTCCTAAAGCTTGCTGCCTGATTCGATTTATACTCCGAATGGATGTTGAGTAACTCGGTACTGTCGGCGCTGCGTAAAAAGGCAGTTCAATTTGGGCGTTGAATAAAATCTGTCGGGGAGCGTTACCAGTGTTTCTGGCTTTTTCGCGAACTTCGTTAGCCAACTTTTTTTTGCTTTTTTTGAGGGGCTCGGTAATTGAGCGTGCTCGGTTTTTAAGGTGAGTTCTTGCTGTTCGTCCAAATAACTCTATGCTCTGCAATTTTCAAATGTACATTGCCACTTATTGAAACCGTTCTTAAATTTGTTTTTTCACGGTATCTAAAACCATCAAAGCGAAGATGCTTTTTTTCGCGTTCAGATAATACGAATTCCATTTTATACGTCAACTTCTGCTAAAAGTGAATGAATGAGAATGATTCAAATACTAATCAACTAGTTGCTCAAGCTGGTTACTAATGAAGAATAATCAATGTTAATTGCGTAAATGGACCATCTAACTGCAAAAAAAGAGGCGCGCGGTTTTGGTTTCTGAATGGACAATATTTTAACCGCAATTAGTTTATCTTTTAGTTTATGTTTTATAAACTAATTGCAAGTTTCAAAATAGTTTCAACCAACTACCCAATTTACTTGATAGGCGGTTGCACGGGCGGCAATGAGGGAAGGATAAGAATATCAGCGTAGCTGTGTTACCAGTAGGAGTGGTCAACCCTTTAACTGATAACTGTTTTGACTGTAAAAATCCCAATTTTGGTTCTGCTTTCGTGTAAATTGGCTAGCTTTTAAATATTATGCAGTTTTTTGTTGAGTTCGATTTTTGCTTAGCTACTATTCTAAAAATGAAAACATAAAGAATGAAATAGAGTCGTATTATAATTAGGTACTTTTTCTTAAGTTAATTTTATTTGTTTTATGTGCACTTGAAGGGAATACTTCCATTTCGTCTAAAAAAATCTTTGATGTTTTGCCGCATGTGAAAAGTTTCTGGGCGCACGTTTCAAAACTTTAAAACTGTGTGAATGGTCTTCGGCCGAATTTTCTGAACGCATTCAATTTATGCCGTCATAATGAAATAATTTTAGTTGATTTTCAAGTTTGTCGTACTTTGCATCATAAATCAAAGAAAATTATCGAACAAACTCTTATTGTTCAGACTTTTGAAACGAAAGTAACGGAATATTTGTGGTCGGGGTGGTTTTTTCTCTTCAGACAAATATCGAATTTTTAACTAGCCCTTTTTGACAAAATTTTTTCATATCATTCAAAAGGTATTATTGTGCTAAGCTTAAAATTGAAAAGTTATTTCACCTGTGATTTTTCTTTGTGCAGTAAGGAGGCTTGAAAATTGCCATTTTGGCCGGTTCGGGACAATTACCGCGTTTATATTTCGCGCTATTAACGCGTAAGCGGAGATTTAACCCCTGTTAGAAATCGTTTCAAATTGGTTAAAACAAGCTCATTTGCCAAATTGATTTGTTAATGGCAGCGAAGTCTATCATTTTATACTTTATATGGCGAGTGGGGGATTATTTTCTCGAAAATCTAAATTTAAAAAAGTTTAATTTATTTTTTTCTACATTTAAATCGTTTCATGTTAGTACTGCTCAATAGACCTTAAACTTCTGTCGGGACATTCAGGGTTTTGCCCTATTGCGAGCAACTTTGTTTGTTGTAAGAATGTTTTCGCACAAATAGTTTGTCAAAAGCTGTAAACTTTCTGTAAATTGGACTGATTTTTCGGTAACATAAACTTAAGAAAATTTTTTACGGAAGTCGATTTTGAAAAAAAAAACTCGGAAGGAACTTTTTTTTCGGTTCATTGGTCTTAAAAAATAAAATCATTTTGGAGCAAAACTGCGCTAAATTTGTACTTAGCCAGAGGCGCTTTTAGCTAATATCTTGTGAGAAAAGTGAACTAAAAGTTTTAGATGGAGCCTCTTTTCACAGGATTTCATAAAAAATTGTCTGAAATCTTTCGAGTTATGAGACAGTCAACAAAAAATGACCACTGCACAGCATTTTTGCCCAACTGCTTTAAAAAACATTTCAAATTGAAATTATGTAACTTATCTAATGCTTAAATTTGATCAAAGTTTAGTTCCATTTTCTCATGAAATTTAAGATGATCGACAGGGAAGATGATGGTATTCTCGCCTCGTCTTTTCTCCTCAATTCAGAAAATAAAAATGCCAGCGTTTAGCAACTGTCATGCCAAGTACAAAATATACCAAGTTCCAAATGGTAAAAGCGAGAGGAAATAACCACTTCGAAACTTCGTCAGCGTTGTCTTTCGAAAATGAATCCAAATTGATGATGCCGCACAACTTTTTACGACCTCCCGAAACTCTGTCCTCGTGAAACCCGCCGTGCGCATTGATGGTAGACGAAACGCGCTTCATCTTTTTTGCACCCCGGTTGCGTGTTTGGGAAAAATCATGCATATCTACGACATATTCAATCGGGTTGTCTTGTAGCCGAAGGGTCTTTAGTTTCTGCTTTGGGGAATTCGAGATTGCGCTTTGGTTCACAGTTTTGTTCGAAATAACGCCCAGTGATGACGATGAGTCATTAGAGGTGATACTTTTAGCCAGGAAACTTGTTTCTTGTTGTGAAATTTTCGAAGGCAGAGTCACTTTGAAGTCGCCGTTCTTCAAGTTTGCATTATCGTTTTGCATGTTGTTCGACTGGCGTGTTTTGAAGATGCTCTTGGCAAAATCGATTGTTTTGCGTGCGTTTTGTGATTTCACCGGAGGCTCGTAGGAAACGAGAGCAAACTCGATCAAACTGGCGAACACGAAGAAGAAGTTGACGATCAAGTACAAGTCTGCCATTTTGAGGTCTGCAATGCCTGGAAACCTGAAACAAAATATCTGTTCTAATGTTTTAAAAACAGCAATAATATTTTATGAAACGAAACGGTAAGCATGTATGCGCTTTTTTACTGTGAATAATTTATGCGTCGGGTATTTTCATGTACTTTTTTGGGTATTTTTAATGTTCACAATGCCGAAAACTGAGTTTGCTGCATTACGAAAGCTATATTTAGTAAGCTGGTAATAACATTTCCGGGAAATATTTGGAACCTATTTTTGAAAAGATTCCTTGGAAAGCTGCAAGATTGCTGAGATGGAAACAAGAGCAACAAAAAAACATAAATATGCAGTTAATAAATGTCACTGTCGAAAGTTCACCACATTAGCTATCGTCCAAGAGATGAATATTAGGAAATCTTAACAGTTGTTAGTTAGTACGTTACACCACTCCAGGGAATAATTGTTCATGGCTACTATACCCTTTCATAAACCCCTTCAACTACCCCTTCCCTCCCCCACCATTGCAAAATAGGGTAATTCGTCACCAGCCACAAAATTCATATATGCTTTTTAAATTTGATCCTATAGAGGGGTGGATATTCTGGACTAGGTATCTTACGGGGTTGGGGGAGGGGGGGGGGGGGGGGGTTAGTCAAAGAGATTAATTTTTCAGACCTCCTGCTGCTGTCTGAGCTGACGCCACACAAATTGTAGCGACAGCTACCATTTGCCGACATCCTTCACAAAAAATAGCATAAAATTTTATTTAAATAGGTTCATTTTCTAGTTTGATTTTTCTCTGACCAAATCAAACAGCGACAAAAAATTTAAAAAATAAAAGTAATTTTATCGGATTTTATTAAGTTTTTGTTAAGACCACTTAACCATGACTGGAAGGATCAACATACGAACTGTACAGCTCATTACGGAGAACCGTTTTGTGCCCCTGTTTAGGAACTACATGCAAATTTTTTTTGGAAAATACGTAAGTATAGAACAGATTTATCTACAACGAGCAAGAATCAATTCGAGCAGTAATCAGCTCTATACGGATAAAATTGGTTTTATAATAAAATTTAAGTATATGAATTGTCAAAAGGCCACTCTTCAACCTCAAACATTGATTTTATTAGTTGCCTTTGCTCGTGGGGCGAAAATTGGTCGAAAGCAAAAATTAGTCGAAAGCGTCAATTCGCACTTTTTTGGAAAAGCAACAACTCGCATCAACGACAATTAGTAAGATTATACTGGTATGACGCAATGGGGCTGATAAGTGTTGCGTGCTTGCCAGAACCGAAACACGAACTGTTTTTGAAAACGACTGGCGGTTATCAAAGCGAAGCGCCGACGTGCGCGAAGCGCGCCACACCGCCATGCCACTCAGAGATATAGCCTTCTAATTGTCACTTGGTGCGAATTGTCGCCTTTTCTCGTAACTACCAATTGTCGCTTCGACCAGTTGTCGCTTTCGACGAATACTCGCCTCCCAGTTTTTGCTCTCAAGTTGTTCCTAAAGTTTGAGTTAAAAAAAAACTCTGTCAGTGTAAATTGAGCGAGAGTTGTTTACCGCGAAGCATATTTAGCAAACTAAATGTTCGCGCTCTGAGAAAAAGTACAGGACCAAGTTAACATATTCCCCCCAAAAGCCGTTGAGGGAGAATGTTAGATTGGTTCTAAATTCAGAAAGAAATTTTCAGCCAATCAGAATCTTTGACCTTCGCCATTAAAATGGCCAAAAAATAACGTTGATTTATTGAAAAATCTTCTCCCAGATTCCAATATTGACCCTAAATTTATGATTCCTACTATCACTAGCCTTTTGACAAGAGCAAGGATTCTGGTATGAACGTTCAAATTGTTTTGAATTTTGTCTGCTTTTCGGACACAGATGATAATTTCGGAACGAGGCGTATGCTACCAGGGCATAATGTTGTGCAGGGGAAAAATTTATTCATAAATGAACGTTTGCCGAAATCACATATGGAAATTAAAAGGAAATACGATGACATGAATCCTATTACAACGACTCATAACTGCCAAGTGAAAGTCTTTTGCTGACGACCAAATCGCTCACTTTATTCCCAAAGTGTAAATAGTTTTGCTGGAGTGGCCAACTAGCTAATTTTGTAGCCAAAAAACAGATTTGTCGAAATCGACCAAGATCTCACAACTACCCTCCAGCGGTTCATAAAACCTTCAATACTGGGCGCCATATGGGTGCTGAACTAAATGCCAATTCAACTCCTGGTTTTTCGAGATGGTCAGAGAAGAATTTATCGCCAGAAATATTGAATTTTCTTAATCAGGACTCAAAGAAATTGAAGATTGAAAAATAATTGAAAGCACGCAAGGTAGAAACAATAGTAACAGAAAACGCAATCAAAAAATTTAATCTACTGGATTGAATTTTTTAGTTTGACATGGAAAGAAAAGTAGTAGAACAACATATGGTTTCAAATATAAAGTCCCGTAGATGCCATCATGATCAACTCGTTATAAATATAAATATTATTCAATTAGAACAAAAACTTCTGATTATCGCCCTTTGCGAAACGTGGTTGTGTGATAAGGGTTATCGGAACCTCTCTCATCTAAATAGCTATCATCCCTCAATTTCTAAGCACCAAAAATATCAACGAGGTGGTGGACTGCGTTTTATGTGCCAAACGATGTGAGTTTTCAATTAAAAAATTCTAAGGTTAATTCCGAACGCATAAGCATATCTATTGTGTATAAATTAGTCAAGACCAAAATTTCTGTTGTCTATAAACCACCACAGAGCAAAAATGAGGAATTTTTGAATCAGTTTGAGAATAACCTTCTGAACTTCAATGCTTTGAAAAGTAATTTTCTTGTATGTGGGGATTGTAATATTGACACTTTAGATTGCAAGCCAAATTCTAGATCTGATATGATTCTAATTAAAAGCTGTGATGCGCATATTTTGAATAGCGATCCAACTCGTATTACTCCAACATCGATAAAAATTATTGATCAATTAAATGCTAATTTTGATAACAACGTGCAAACACTGGCTTCAACTATTGCTGATCATTTTCCCTTATTTATATCTGGTTAAATGATTATTGATCCGGAAGAACATCAAGAATACCACTTCAGACATCTTAAAAATCGTTACCGTGACGATATTATTTGTAGAATTTATTCCTCTTAGATAACAAAATGTCTGAATTTTATAAGCTTAGTGATCCCAATGAGAAATTGTGTCTGTTAGTTGAATCCATAGATTCAACAATTGATCGCTTCGCGCCCTTAGAAAAATCGAAATAACAAAAATAGTCATGGGTTATCGATTCAACCAAAAAAGTCCTCAAAATTCGCGATCGGCTTTTCAGGAAATGGGTACAAAATCCTATTGAATTGAATAAACTGAAACCTTCTCAAGCTAGTAATTTAACAACTAAGGCACTAAAAAACTAAAAAAGAGTTTATTTTTAGAAAAAAAAATGTGAATGGTAGAAATTCAAAAACGCAGTTCCAGGCCTTTGTTGAATTTGGCAATGCAAACTCCAGAAGCACGAGTGTTTTTGATGCTGTTGGTTTTTTTATTTTTTGTCTCAATTCGCGAGAAACTGAGGAAACTCGAATTTGATTTTAAACAAGCGGTGGGTTATGTAGATCGAATTGAAAAATCAGTGGTTTTTAATTATATTACCATCAAAGAAATTGAAGATGCCATATATTTGTTGAAAAACAAAGGTTCTAATGGTGATGTTGGCATAAATAACAAAACTCTCGCTGCCTGTAAGTTTTGTAAGAGTTTGCAGCTTTTTCAACCAATGCGTTAACAGTGGTTGTTTCCTTTGAGGCTCAACAGTTGCAAAAGTCATGCCCTTTTTTAGGGGCGCTTTGAATGAAACTCTGTAAAATTATAGACCTAATTGTTTACTCAGTTCACTCAGCAACATTTTGAAAGAATAATTTTCAATAGTATATATAAGTTTGCTAATAGTACAGAATAGTACAGAAAAATTTTTAAGAGAAACAGTTTAGATTTCTGAAGAAAAAAGTCATACTTGGATGCGCTGATCGAATTTACAGGATTTTTTAGAGAGGGATGGGACAAAAAATTGGTTGGTCAATTGAGCTTTGTTGATCTCAAAAAAGCATTTGATAACATGAATCATGATGTTTCATTGGCAAAAATGGAAAAATACGGCTATAGAGGCCGAATTCATTGTCTTCTGTTAATTTGCCTCACTAAAAAACAAATATCTTACAGGCGCACTATGTCATGTGGAGTACCGCAATGGTCAATTTCAGGTCCTTTTTCGTTTTTAGTGTATTTAAATGATCTTTCGAAAATTGCAATAGGATCTGAGGGAATTTTACTTGCAGACGATACTACATTATGCAAGGCAGAGAAAAATTAGTTCGATAACTCTGATAGCTTGTTAAACAAAATGAAAAGATGGTTCAAAACGAATGGTCTTAGTGTTAATCGTGGTAAAACTCAAACCAGGAAATTTGATAGTAACTTTTCAAAAGATTACTTTGCTTTTGGTACTTCAGTTCAAATCACAAACGTGTGTAAATATTTAGGCATTTTTTATTTAAAAAACTTGCTCTCAAATTTCACATTGATTATGTGTGCAAAAAAATAACTACATTTTGTGGCATTGTCTGGAAAGCTAGGTACACCTTTTCTAAGCAGCAGATGCTTCGCTTTTACAAAGTATATATAATTTCTTCAACCACTTATGGAAATTTAATATACGGCAATACATTCCAATATCACCTTACCGAGATCAAAAAAATTCAAAAAAGAGTTATGAGAGCATTTCATTTCAAAAAATGATATGAATCAATCAAGGAAATTATGGACGAAAACAAATTGCTTACTCTTTTTGATTTATGATTTTTGAGATGTTTAAATCTTTAAATCTTTGTTAAAATTGCGATCGGACAAAAAAAAAGTTTCTTTGTCTCAAATTTACTCCAAAAAAAAGGATCATGTACCAGGAGCAAAGCGAAAGGCGTAATTTAAGCGACAAAATTTTCTACCACCGCTGAACAGAGATCGCTTTCAGTTAGAATTGTGCAGGCTTTTAACTATTTAAAACAGAATGATTTGATACCTGTTAATATACAATAAATGTCACAAGTTAGCTGTTTGAGGTTCTAAAAACAATTTTTTCCATCCTACCTAAAAGCCAATCAGGACCTCTATAAACTGTTTTTTAACTTCAGCGCTTAAATTATTTTGTTTGTTGAGTTGATGCTGGCTGTCTTCTCTTTACTCTCCATGATATCTACTCGATAAGCAGTAATGCTCTTTAGGATCTCCCTCCAGGCATAATATATTGCTTTTGGCGTTGTATATGTAGCTGGTAAAGTAAAATCAATTTTAAATTTAAGTTTAGCTTCAAACTAAAATTTGATCAGTCGTTCTTCCATTGCTTCAAACCATTGTTTTTAGCGCAGTTGTGTTGAAAGCGTATCAAAAAATTATAGAATTTATCAAAAACCATTTTATTATTGCAACAAAGTGTTCATATAGTACTCACTTCAAAATTTCAGAATGAAAAAGCAACTGAAATCATACCGTTCAATTTCGTTTCCGCTCAAGCGATGCTATGTAACAGTTGTAAATGTTTCGTCCAATTTTTTAGGTTGACTAAATTCAGTCCCAAGCTCTCTCAAAGCACTAAAGGAACCTGTTTTGGCCCAACTTTCTGCGCCACAGGCAGATTTTTTGAAAAAAAAACAGGCTATAAAAGGCGTTTTTAGCCACTTTTTGAAACACTTTGACAAAAAAATTGCGTGCACTTTTTCGGCGTGCACTTCTTCCTTATAATAAGTCAATTTTGGCGCAAAAAACGCCTTTAGAAAATTTTTAGGATATTTTTAGCCAAAAATGTATAACTCAAAATAGTACAAAAGGGTACCCTTTGGTTCGGCGGGGGTCGAATTCCTAAGAGGGGGGATTTGTCCCATCCCTCCGGCGCCTCCCCCCAAATCCGCTACTGATAAACTGTTTATAATCTGCTTGTATTAAAATTATAAACTGTCTGCACTAGTCTGTACAAAAATCGATTAAAAATTTTAAAATGGTAACGGGTCTTATTATAAATTAAATAATGAAGATAAAAATATGCAAAATGAAAAAATAGCAAAATGAGCTGCAGTATTATCGATATAGTCAAATTTTCATTCTATAAAAATTAAATATCATGGATCTGAATCAGTATAGTTTTCTGCAATAATCGATAATTGTTCGATTTTTGTCGCTGTGAATAGTCTTATAGAAGGAAACAAAATTTGGCGTGGGATGTCTTTCAACAAGCAAAATCAAAACCTCAAATATTTTCAAAAAATTGTCTGGACATACTTTTATTTTAACAATTTAAGACAGCAAAAAACTTTAGTTAATTCAGTAAGAATGATAGAGAGATGCTGTAAAAAAGCAGTAATTTTCCAGACCTGATTTTTGAAAATAATTTAAAAGATACAAAAAAAATTTAAAAATCTTAAAGAGTCAGTATTTTTTTTTATTTTCAAACTAAAAAAAGATGCTTTTAAAATGATAGCCAGGGTTTGAAAATTACAAAAAGAGTTCTATCCTTTGAGCTCAAACGCAAAACAAAATATACCAGATTAAAATTCAAATCACGTTTTGTTTTGCCTATTACGTTTGTTTAACAAAAATCGCAAAAATCACTGTGGTAGAGATTTTATTTTGAAAACGAAAGCAACGAAAATCATTTTGAAAGCAACATATCAATAAGCGAATTGAGAAGACGATTCAAGTGAAATTCGAAAACGAGCACAGGGATTAAAAGCGTCAGGTGTTAATCCAGCAATTCAACAAACTCACGAAGAGGCAAGCATTTGATCAGGAATTACCGGTTGCTGTGCTGAATCTTCGCACAAAAATGAAAAAATATATAATTTTGGATTTTTTTAGGAGTAGAGTGCTAACTTAACCTTCAAGAGCTAGTTATCAACCTAAAGTTTTTTTTGTAGCTAGTTCAAGAGCTAGTTATCAACCTAAAGTTTTTTTTGTAGGTCGATCAAATTGATTTTTCGAGCTCTCCTAAAGCAGTAAAAAGACGCTATTTCGAAATTTTTGAAAAAAAAACAGGTCAAAAAAGCCGTTTTTGGGCATTTTTTGGAAAATTTTGACAAAAAATTGCGTATTTTTGGCGCGCGCTCCCCCTCAAAGTTAGTAAAATTTAGAAAAATTTTAGTGTCGGTCTGGACATACTTTTGAAATTGTCTGGACTTCTTAAAAAGTACCAAAGGGGTCAGCAGGGGGTCGAATCCCTGAGGGGAGAGAGGCGTCCGCCCCCCCCCCCCCTAAATCCGCCCCTGGCTCTATACCATTGGTAATTTATTGACTCTTAAGTCGTTTGAAAAAAAAATTTTTTCGACAGTTTTTTCGACACCCAGATAATTTTTTGCATCATTTTTCGCAGCTTCGATTCACGACTGAAAGGACTGCAGCGTGAGATATCACTTGTTGTTTGTGGTACTCAGATTTGCAGAAAAAGCTAAATTAAATTTCTTGTTTCGGCGGTCGGAGCAACAGCAATCTCGGGACCAAGTTAGTAGCCTTTCCAAACCAATTTATTTTGTTTATTTCCTGGTTGAACTGAAGGGAGGTGAAAAACATGAAGGGACATATTGCATGGCGTGACAACTTTTGCTGCAAATTCTTCTGATTTAATAACCGATGAAAAAAAAAGAAACAATGTAGCGGATGGAAATGTTAATGTTTTTCGTTTAAAGGAAGGAGCTTGGAATTTAGTGGATTTAATGAAAAAAGAAATACAGTCAGCTAGACTTTTAAGGGGCTGTTATGGACGGGAAACAGGGTAGTTTTGCACTTACTGATTGGCTGTTCCGGTGATGAGAGTGATTTCAGCCAGAATAGTGGTGATGGACAGGGATGCTCTGGCAGGTATGGCCCTCTTGTCGATCCAGAAGCCCACCCAGGACAGAGCCACTAGAGAGATGGAGGGCAGGTACATAGTGATGACGTAAATGCTCAGTTTACGGATGAGACGCACGCCCAGACACAGCGTCACGTAGTTGTAGTCTGAAACAAAAACAAAAACTGTTTTCCAGCCTCCCGTATAACTTTTGGGTTTCTTCCCATCCATCCAGCCATCAAGTCTAGATACAAAAACACTAGCCCCACCACAGAGTGATTTTTGCACTAAAGTGGAAAGTAATTAATTGGAAGACTATAGCGAAAGATCAATACGCCATTTCGTTTTTGACGGAAGTGGATTGCGCAAAAGATGTTAAAATGACTTTGCTGTTTTTGATCATCACAGGTAGGTCTTGGCAGCTTTTCTCCTGAGCGCTCGATTATGTTGCCTGGTTATGGTGCTTCGTTTTGCGGTGCCAGTTTTTGCGTGGAAAAAATGAGTGCCCAAACCCTGGCACTCAAGTGGAAAAAAGTTCAAAAAATAAAATCACCAAAATCAAAGACTAATTCCTTTTCACTTAGTCGTCGGAAGAAAAAGTCAAAGTAAAGGACCGAGGCATTCACTCCGTGTTTTGCAAAAGCTCCTTGCCATGTTTTCACATCATACGCTTGCGTTTAATCTTGATTTTTGGGCTACTTTTGGGTACTGCGCGAAATTGCACCAAGCTCAGAAATCAAAATTAGATTAGCACGTGTGCCTTAGAGAATCTGAATTGGCGCCCAGAGCGCAATTGAGCAATATTATGCATGCATGGTTGAAATCAAAAGTGAAGCCATATAATATAACAGTCTTGTAAGTCTAGCGTTGCATGGAACTAAGCAGTGTCCTCACAACTAAGACAACCACTTGATCAGCAGACCAACAACTGAATTAAGGTAAGTCATCATCCTTCATTGAATCGCACCTCTGGGATCGTGCTGTGGAAAAAAGATAGTTCATGGGTATAATAAACTGATTGTTCATTTAATTGATAAAAAATTTTGGGGTCTTTTGTCAAGACACAACCATTCTAGATACACTAGTGGACAAAACTAAGCGCAAACTCAGATTTTCTCTCTAAAGATCCCGTTTTCAAGGACAATTTTGGACCAATTCACAGAGAATTTAAGCAAAGTTTTTACATTGACCGACAGAAAATCATCTGAATCTACCCTCTCTGAAAGTGTCAATTTTTGATTTCAAGGACTTCGGAGTTTGAACTTCGGAGTCTGAACTTCGGGGTCTGAAAATGCCAGTTTTCACCATGCGCACTAAGTTTTTAAAAAAACTGAATTGTAAAAAAACTAGCTAAATATTTTAAAGGTTATCGCATGAACAACTTTTTTCTCAGCGTGTTCGAGTTCACTGTTTACTCGAGTTCACTCCTATTCAAAATTTAATGCAGATGGTAAAAACTGGAATTGTCAGACCCGCAAAAAACTGCTAAGTGCTTCAAATCAAAAATTGAGACTTCCAGAGAAGGTAGTTCAGAACATTTGCTTTCGGTTGATGAAAAAGTTTTGTTTCCATTCCAAGAGCATGTTGTCCAAACTCATCTCTGAAAACAGGCCTTTTAGAAATAAACAAGACTGCTTGTATATTAGAGCAAAGCCTTGAATGTCCCGACTCTACTTAAAGCCAATTGAAAGTTTTTTTTTGGTTGAATAATTGACAAAATGATTGAGAAAAAAAGAAGATTTTTTTTCACTTTATCCCCCCTCACGACTTGTCAAATACTAAGGGTGGAGTCAGCGTCTCGGATTGTGATATTAGTATTAGATTCCTGGCCTCAATTCAATTTGGAAGGCATTAGTTTGCTTCTTACGCATGTTATAGATATGCAATCTATTGCACTTCAATTATTCCAAATTGGCCTAATTGGAAATTTTAAAACGCCCGTAATTTTACGAAAAACAATCACAAGTGATATATGTTTTCAACTTTGAGCTTAAAATATTGCTTAAAAAACAAATAGCAACAAGATGGTACAAAAAACTCCGTTAAGAAAGTTCGTTAACAATTAAAAAAAAATTGACTAAACAAAAAAATCACGCCAAGTATAATTATTAATATAAAAAACCTGAATTTGCACATAATTTCAACCTCTACTTTATAGCGTACTACCGCATTATTCAATAGCAAAAAAAAACACGACTGTTTGTGTCAAGGCGAAGATTGAATGTTCCGACTGCCTTTTGAAGCCTATGGAGCAGCAATAACATAAAAAAATTACAGATAATAAAAATAGAAAATTCTTTTTTTTCTAAATTGAGTTTTTTTGTAAAATCATACCCTGCACGGCATGTATCTTACAAAGTGATAAAATTTGCTACTAACAACAAATCAGTTATGGCAAAAAGGCTTCCTTCATCCAATTTGGAATATTTTCTAAGGCGGATTACATCTACGCTTACGCGTTATTAGCGCGAATTATATCGGGCAATAATGCCCCAAATTGGCCAACATAGCAATCCTTAAAACCGCATAACTTTACAAAAAATGATCACAGGTGAAATATTTTTTCAAATTTAAGCTCAGGTCAACAATACCTTTTGAATGGCCTAGTTAAAAAGTCGAATTTTGTCTGAAGAAAAAAACCAGGCTCTTTTCGAGTTTCCCACCCCCTCGTAAATTTGCAAAACTAAGCTGTTCAAAAATTGCTCACACGGTTTTTTGCATGAAAGAAATGTTGTATAAGCTTGTTCACCTGTTCACGCTGACACGTTTCACTGCAATTTATGGCTCTTTTCCAGTTTCTCCCCTTTCAAAATGCCGAGTTTTATGCTTGTTTTACGTGTTATTACGGCTAAATGCGTGATGTTACGCTGCAAAGTATGAAGAACAAATCTGTTCACAGTTGTCGATTTGTTCACCACGCCAAACTTCATTGCATTATGACAACGTTAAATAAGCTTTTCAAAATTAAATTTGAAAGGGGGGAAACTGGAAAAGAGCCCAATTTATAACATGAAAACTCGTTTTAAATAGACTTTCATATATTGAATTTTAGACAAAAATCAAAGGGTGGGGGGGGGGGTAACTTTTTGAAAGCAGAATCGTTCGCCTTCCGGCTCGTTAACATTATATCGCCCCAAGCCGTTGAGTCTTGGAGGGGGCTATAAATTGCTGAGGACTATATTTCGAAAATTGAGGGGCATCAAAGATTGATTTTGGCAAATTTTGGAAAAGGAAAGCTCTAGAATTTACTACAGTTCTATGATGGCGTGTAACTTACTTCGAAAATTCAATCAACTCATAAAACATTCTAAACCAATCCAAACACCTCATAACAGGACGAATTCTGACAGAATATATTTGAGCTGAAGGGGCTTGTAGAAAAATATGGGAGTTGCTTTGCCGAAAGTTGATATATTGTAAAAAGGCTCCAAAAAAGACCCTTTGGGAGTGAAAAAGTCAAATTAGGGAGCAGAAGGCGTGTATTTCGAAGCCCGTTCAATCTTGTTTTTAAGGAAAGCCCCGAAATGCCTCGTCCGGAGGGTGAAGCCAGTTATAAGCTGACCGGAAATATAATCACCAAACCACCGCAAGACAGTAAGCCACCAAATGACAAACACCAGTCCTCGTCCAGCGCTCAAAACGACCGGCGCGAGAGCAAGGAGCGAATGGTCGCCGGCATAGATCGGGAGGGCGAAAAAGGTGGAAAGGCGAAGGATAGTAGAGAGAAGAAACGAGAGTCGAAAGACGCCGCCGCGAATGCCATTCGAGAGGAGCGAAAGACTCTGAAAAGGGAGAAAGAGAAACAGGAGAAACAAGAGAAGCGGGCAAAACGAGAAGACTCAAAACAGGACTTGAAAGTGAAACGTGGAGACGAATTGCCACATTTGCATACGAGGAACAAATTCGAGCTGAATTTTCATTATTAGAAAAAAGAAAGAAAAAGTTAGGCTTAAAAAGCTGACTTTTTGAATCAAACTTTTATATATGTATAAGAGCTTATATTCTGAATTCTGAATCACTTTAAAACTCTGCTTGAATTTGATCATACTAGTTTCGATACTTCAAAGACCCTGGAGAAATCTATCGAGCCGTCTCAATCCCAAGATGTGGACCATCCTTCGAAAAATCTTGAGATGAAAGCTAACAAGCATCTTGATAACAAAAAAACCGAGAAGTCTGAGAGAGGCGAGAGCGTGAAATCGATACCGACAAATACTCTCACGAAATCAGACTCACGAAACTCGTTCGTTCGGATGGGAAGTGCCAACAAGTTGAAACGAACAGCCTCATCTAAAAGCATAGGTAAGCAAACTTTCACATCGAGCGATGATAACTTTTTTGGGAGGGAGGGCAGGGAATTGTTTGCATTGTACGTGAACAACAAAAAGATCCTATATGTCAAACATTTAACTCGTACCTGGCTCTTATCCTTTTCCCCCCACCTCACTCAAACATGAATTTTATGGTCTAACGAGTGGTTTTACAAGGTTAATTATGTAGACAAAATATGTTTGTCATGGCATAATCAGTCTGCATGCCAATTTTCACGACAATCGGACAAAGTGAACAGTAACTTCAAATATAAAAATTTGCAGGTGGGGGAAAAGGAAAAAGAGCCTCGTACCTTTGCAATGTTTATGATGTGCCTAATTTTGAGATGAACCGCCCCCGAAAGTTAAACTCTTTTTCATTTCCAGTGGTTGGAGCAATTAAATTGTCAGAGTATTCAGACGTTCAATTAATTTTAACTATCCTTTTTCCCTTGCTTTAGATCGTCGATCTATATCCAGCCAAAATTCTAAGAAAGCGCTTGAGGAAAACAAGCCTCCTGCTTTTGCCGTCCGTGGAATGCAGACCTTTACCAGACGAAAAAGTCTGAACGAACTGGATTTGACTCGACTGAGTACCACGATGCAGGAAATTATACTTAGATCAACGTCGGCCAAGAATCTTCACGCTGCGAGCAATAGCAGCAACGATCAGTTCCAAAATCGTGTAATGGAGTTATCCAAAATGAACGAAGCACCCCCTTCTGGTCAAATTAGGGGGAGAAACACAAGTCTGTCGAGTTCCAACAGAGCAAGGTACTCTCAATTAGGAAAGGTTTCAGAAGCGGACTCGGAGTCGAAAGCGACTACAAGAAGTGGAGATCAACAATACGCTCCGG